ACCTTGCCACTCCAGCAGCCCCGAGTTTTCCTGGGCAGCCAACTTTATCTGGCTGTCCTCAGGGTCTCGAGGTCCGTTCGGTCCAGCTGGGCACTGGACACAGTCCTAATTTACGGTAAATTTAAAACAACGACAATATCAGCAACACCTGGAAACCCCGGTTTGCCTGGTTCACCCTGTACGGAAAAACCGAAAGGATTTATCATACATTAAATGCTTAAAATATTTCTAATGATTCATCACTGCATTCATTCACCAATTTACACTCTTTAAAATTATCTCCCATACGTTTCTTTTGTTATCTTTGTCTAACAAAATTTCACATCCTTATTTTAATGACAAAGGATGTCCAATTTACATGCTAATCTTCCCTCTGTTCTTGTTACAATGCTTATTATGTAATTGGATTTTTACAGTTTCCTTTGTATCTAAATGAATACCCTCCTATTTTTACAGTTTCCTTTGTATCTAAATGAATACCCTCCTTTAACGTTTTATGTAAACCACTCCTACTTCTTTATATATATAACCCTTTTTGTAAAAAGGTTTTGTCTGGACTAATGCTCTTCCATAGCATTCTTACAACAGCTTTTAACTCACGGTCAAGCGATTTTCTACTCGTTATTCTTCAATAATCCTCCTGATCAACTCTGTATTATATCAATAAAGCGGTAAATTTTACTCTTTGTCCTCACAACGTATATTCGACGTCTTCACAAGGTAAGCCTTTAATTAAAGTTCTGCTTGATCCTAACTCAAGGCTAAACTTTCTAAATCTAAACGACTCGATAAAAGGAAAGAATAATTTTTTCACAACACACCCGGCTCTACAATAGTAGTGATAAATATTGCATAAAATTAATAGAACTGTATCCTATTGTGGGCGTATATAAAGCAATTCGGATTAATACAAAGAGAAAACACCCTGCCTTGCAATAAAGAAAAATCAACCTCCTGGTTCTCCTTTTTCGCCTTGTGGGCCTTGTTTACCGTGTGGACATCTGCTGTAGCTCTGACCGCATTCTGAAATTTCAGTTCGTAATTCTGCTTTTATGACGAGCCAGTTCAGTCATTATGATTGAAATCCTTAATCTAGCCTTCATTATTTCTGGATTTAATAGACAATAGATGCATCGTTTCAGAAATTTCGATTTTATCACACCGTTAAGAAAGAAAAGGTCTTTTTGTCCTCAGGTTACGAGCCGAAAGAATCGATGAGTTGATTGAGTCTTGACATTTGCGGATGTCTTCTGCGCCCGCAACTGCACCATTCTATTCCAGGCGTTCTCGTTAATGACCTTCAAATTTGACAATATGTGTTTATTATCAGCATATATTCGAGTTTTCATTTCTCATTGTTCTTAATTTTTTTTTAATTTTGAGGATTTAAAATATCACCAGTGAAATCTTTTCAAATTAAGTTTTCCAATTTTTGGGACAAAGTAAATATTATAATTTGTCATCAAAAGAAATGGTATTGAACTACCTTAATTTCTTGCGTATCGCTCATAATTTCATCGTATAGGAAATTCAAATCACTGATCAGGCGGATCACAGCAATAATAGATATCAGTACAACTATTGCGGAAATGATACTTATTATACTGATATTTGTGAAAATGCCCGTATTACAGTTGAACGAATGTCTCTTTTGTAATATGATTCACCGGAAATAAAATTTTGAGCGTATTCGAAAGCCTTCAATATATTTTTATGACTTATATTTAAGTGTCACGTACAGCTTGTAAAAAACACGCAGATATTATAAATATCTGAAAAGAGATATCGCACTGTTCCTTTCATACGGACATTTTATAAGACTTATGCATTGTACTTAGAAATAACTGAAGTCACTTCAGAAATTTAAAACCTTAAAATATTTTCAGGTCTGAAGTTTTAAAAATTAGCATAAATATGAAAGGGGAAACCGTTTGCTTTTTCCGTTCTGAAAAACCAAAATATGACAGAAAGAAGTTTCAAAAATTTCAATTAAGAAATTTTTGACAACTGCACTCTCCAGAAAGATTCTGTCCAGGATATAAAGCTGCCAACCAGTAATGATTCCAACAAGATAAAGAATGAGTCAAAGAAATTTTCTTTCAGGAACTAAAAATTTAGAATTTAATGCCATTTTCCGTTATGACCACAAAGGGACAAATGACAGATGGATACTGTCGTGATGGATAACTTATTTTCGGATGGTAGTGTCACCCTTCGCTTCCTTTATTAATCTTTACTATTCTAAAATAGACGTTGGGATTGTTAACATGCTTAATAATAAGAGGAAAATTTTCTCGGACCATAGTCATACCAACCAATCAGTTTATAAATATGATATAAGTAGGAATGAACTTCGAATCAAACCAACAATAACTACGTTAATGCCTGATACTTCATGATTTATTTCACTCGGTCAACAATACAGACGGGTTCTCAACAAAATAACGCGTCCTGAATTCTTTCAGACCGGTCGTAAGGTGACGTTTTTTTTTAGCACGTCGCTTATCCGGAGAAAGTCAATAAGTGCATCATGCAGTATCTGTAAGATTTGGTGCAGGAAATTTCCATCTATAAGTTGGTTTTCATGTCTTTTTGATATTTAAGATTTTTTCTCTTTCTCTTTAACAAGTCTTCCTAGCAAATGCTAAACAATGACTTTTCTTTTTGGGACTTTTCCACTTCATATCTTGCTATAATTTGGTAAGATGAATCAGATAAACTGGAGATAATTGTAGGCGGGGGAAACATTGTTAAGCAATAATTTCAACTAACAAAACCCTTTCCAACAATTATCGTTTGAAAGGCTATATTCTGTTCATTATTTATAAAGAAACTCGTCGCGAAAATCAAAAAAATTATTATAAACTCTATGATATCAATATAAGTTGGGCGCTAGATGTTTGAAAAATATCAGTCTTCATCGCACATAAATTTTTAAACACCCCACCGTGATAAAGATTTCTATCAATAAAATTGTGACAGAAACTTTTAAATTGTTAGCAATTTTTAATTTGAGATTGATATCAATTTAAAAACTTCAAATAAAATGTTTTCTGATTAACCTGAAGAATTAAATCCTGATATCGAATTGAATTAAAATTTGAGTCTGAAAATAAATAATACATTTTAAAGAGAGGAGGAGGCTGTCCTCTTTTGAATGATAAAACTTTAATGATATCCACTGCACCTGACAATGAAGTTTGCATGATTCTGTAATTGAGGTAATTAATCGTCTTTCAGCTATGTTTAAGAATTTTATCCGATATCTAAGCGGCAAAGCAGATTTTTTTTGAAAAGAAAGTTGCGTATGACGATACATTTCTCATAGATAACCACTAAATTTTTTTTTTTTTTATAGCTTTTTTTAATAGCTTTTCTAATCATTTAAAAACAGCAAAGATGTGTAAAAGTTAAATAATTAAATTTAAATTTGCTGGGTACGTAACTGTCATCAGCATATGCAGATGACATAACATCTTTTTTATGACAAATACATTTGCCTATTATGATTATTTGTTCATACATGAAAATATATCTACTAAATTACTGAAGAATTGTAAGGCGCCTCGGTAAACAAAATTAAGTTGCAATCGAGACAAATCACTAGAAGACAAACGACATTCACATGTTCGAAGCCAAGTTGATATCGAAAATGGTTAAAACAATTCTTTTCCAACTGTATAGTAATTTTCAGAAAAGAATTGTTGCAGAATAAATTCGTAACTGTTGAGTGATTATTTTATGAATTCATGGCAAAGTATCTGAAGAATGTAAATCCAAAATATTCCTAAAGAGATATTAACTCTGTTACATTCATTATGAAGCTAACATTCATAATTTGAAATTTCTTTATGAAAATATGTCTCTTAACCTTTCGTTGCTCGAATTTTAAGAGATTAATTTTATTTCCCTCTTCCTATTTTCCTCTTTCCTTTCCTTTACAGAAGGAAAGTTCCAATTCTGCTGCACTTAATGATAATATTCCCAACTCATGCGATCTTCTTTCAAGTAATTGAGATCGTATCTGTCTAATGCTATTTTATCAGCTGTAGTGACAACAAAAACAAAGCTTCTTCTTTGCTTAGTATTTGGTTTGGTTTTTGCAAATGTGACTCATCATGCTTGAGAAGTAAAATTTGCAACGTTGAAAAAAGAGCTCGCAATATTACTACAGGATAACTAGAAAGGTTAAAATATTTCATGGAAATTATATAGCTAGCTGATTGTAATTCAGGCATATGATAGATATAGTAATGTTTAGTTTTATGAATTTAAAAAAAAATTTCATTTCAGAAATTCCATATGATGCGATTAAATATCATATGTATAATACCTCACTGCGCTATTATCTGTATATCTGATCGCTTCATCAGTTACGGTCGGGAGACAACTAAATCGTTCAAATTCGCTGTTTAACATCAAAATTTCTGTCAATCATTAAAAATTTAAAACCAATGATTTCTTGTTAATCGTGTTTTGAATTAGATTATTAAATCAAATTTTATTTAATTAGAGTAAAGTTCCTCATTGAGTAGATAAAAAATTGGACTAAAAATTATTGGACCAATTCTTTGTTTTTTTGTTTTCGTCTTCATTCGTTGACATATTGTTTGCATGACTAATTCAAATTTGGTCCGAAAAAGTAATTTATCAAATTTAATCGTTTTTTCACATATATCATTAAAGTATCTGATTGTTCTACCAAACCTCGAGAGCATGATACGAAGTTTCGGTAAGTTTCGTTTATTTCTGATTTACCCATCGTCAAATCCTACTGATTCAATTCTGTTGATTCCTATTCTCCAGCTTCTCAAGCCAATTTATTCGATTTTTATTTTTAGAAAAATTTCTGTCCTGTGAAGTTGAATAGCTCTCATTCATCCAATACAACCTCTTAACAAAACATACAATTGAAATTGCTGAAGAAATGTATTAATTTTAGATAAATATTTGCGAGATTTGAAGCCAAAATACGATGACGATGTGGTGGACAGATGCAATTACTTGCTAACAAACATTATGCTCCTAATTTGTGCAATAACTATTGCTGCAAAGCAGTATGTTGGAGAACCACTACAGTGTTGGACACCGGCTGAATTCCAGGTTCCGAACTCTCTTTAACGGAGTCGTCATTTAACGGATTTGAATTTATTTAAACTATCATTTGTATGATTGCGATAAGGAAAAATAATACACACACCACGTTTTCCGGTATCTATCCTATATGGAGTAATAAATCCGATAACTTTTGAAGGGATAAGTTCAAGTTAATTTATGAGAATATGAACTCTTACATCACCTGGGAAGTTTCCCAGGTATTTTACTGCAATTGTTTCCAGAAATCATACAGCCCAGAAATTTCTCATCAATGTAATTCATAGGAAAGCTCACAAAGATTGATCAATATTCTATGTTTCAATTAGACTTGCTCGATCGAAATACACTTGCTAGATCTTTTCCCTTTTCTCTTTGCTCATTTCTTACTTGATAATTAAATACTAATCCATTTTATAGGATAGCTGGGAGCAATATATCGAGAATTTCTGCTTCATTGAAAATACTTATTTTGTGCCGTTCACGGATGATATGCCCGTGGTAATTTTAATTCAGTGTGATAATAGAAGTCGAAATGAATCGCTTTTTAAGCATTTCAAAATTAAGATGATTTCATAAAATAAATTCAGTGATCGATCAAATCTTATGCGAATTATAACAACCAATTGCGTCGCATGAATTTGTCCCAGCACATGTCCAGCATTTCAGGATTCTAACGAGCGTAACCAATATCAAATACAATATTATCAATGGATACCGTTCATTCTCATCTTACAAGCCCTCCTATTTCTTGCACCTCGGACCATCTGGACAATGTTCAATTGGCGGACAGGTGCGTACGTTTTTCTTGTTTCGTGCGGTATAGGACTGGAGATAGCAGTATTGATTCTGTTCACTTTTTCTGTTAATAATAATAATAATAATAATAATAATAA